AAAAAAAAGCAGTCACATTTTCGCGGCAACCAAAACAGAACACAAAAGTCTTAATAATAACTCAGGATTAATTTCCTTTTTCCTTAAAAAAATTGCAAATAACTCCACAAACTATGCTAGTTTTGGATGGTGCCTGGACGAGCTCATAGAGATCCTTGCTTGCAGGGACAAGTTGGGGCAGATGGCTCTACCCATTTTCTTCCTCCGCAACCAGAGGGGGAGCTTTGGCGAAGCTTTTGTGCATCACCAGAAGGTTAATGTAAACAAAGTAAAGATGTGGAAGACTGCCCTAACCAATACTATTTAAGTATCAGCAACATGGATCTCGTCGGTGAAAATCCATATCACCGACATGCTTCCCATGCTGGTATGGTGCAGCTGTCGATCAATGAATAATTGCTTAACTCACCAGAAAATTTTAGCAACATGATTCTTGTTGTTGAAATTCATGTTGTTGAAATTCACTTTCAGTAACAAGAATCATGTTGTTGAAAGTAAAGTATGTTATTACTTTTTTGAGGTATTATGTACTATTTAAATATCAACAACATAAGTCTTGTCTATGAAAATTCATATTACTGACAAGCAATTCTATGTTGTTGATATTTAGTTGCTGAAAAAAAAAAAAAAAGTAGTGTAAATGTTTAGAAAGAGTTTCCCCCAACCAAACTCCCCCATAGGTGCGGCAACCATATCTCCAATTTGAGTAATAATCATTTTAATAATATCCATCAATCTTGCAATTGGCAACTACTCCAAATATAACTTTTAAATACATAACAAATCTATTAAATTTATTTTTAAAATAACAATGGAAAGGCATACATACGACTCCTAGGTATTCTTGGTTTATATTTTCCTTTCCCTTGCATTTCATGAATTTTTTCATGGTCACAGAAATTAAATTTATGCCTTTGGATGTGTTTAGTGAGTTCCTTATCTTCCTCTGTAGATTCCACAAAATGAATCCTCTTCAGAGGTTCATAAATTGATGAAGGATTAACAACTTTAAAGGAGGAAATGATGTATATTTTTCCTTCTATGAGAAGATGATGGTAGATTGAAAACTGTGAATTGACAATAATCTCTACTACTTCCTTAACATAATAGAAAAAATTAGTCTTTGTATCAAAAAATTAATTTTAAGACTAACAACAATGTAAAATGTAGTTATATATAATAACCTAGTCATCTATAACAATGCATTTAAGATAGCATTTTCATCCCACATTGTACTAATACAAACTCTGATTTTTTAGAGCCTATTTGGTATGGCTGGAGCTTTTAATAGAAGTTTTGTTAGAGGAAATCTGTTATGAAAATGCTGTTTTTGAAAAGTTAAAAGTGTTTGGTAAAATTTTTTATAAAAGTACTTATAGAGTGAAAAGTTATTTGATAAATTTTTTTATAAAAGATCTTTTAATATTAAAATGACTGAAATAGACATTGTTTATTTTTTATCACTCTCACTTTATTTTTTTATATTTTTATATGACTTTAAATTTATAATTAATTTAACG